GGTTGGGGCCGGGGAGCAGGAGCTCGCCGAGACACGTCCGTCTCGCCGGACGTTCCGGATGTTTATGCCATATGTTTATGTACTGGCCTCCCATTGCTGCTGTCTCCATCGCCACACTCTGCCATGTGCCACTTTCAGGTCTCCTCACACTGCTTGTGTGTTCCATTTTTTTGTCATAGGGTGAGCTGGCAGATTTACGGGCCTCCCATAGCTGCTGCCTAGGCCCGTAAATCTGCCATGGGCCCCGTGTACCCGCCTCCTCATGCTGCTGCCTTAGGTCCACAGTGTCTCATCCCGCCATACTGTGCTCCCTTTCAGGTCTCCTCACACTGCTGGTGTTGTTCCATTTTTTGTCATAGGGTGCTGGCAGATTACGGGCCTCCCATTAGCTGCTGCCAGGCCCCTAATCTGCCATGGGCCCCTGTACCGCCTCCTCATGCTGCTGGCCAGGCCAAGGTTCCAGAGTCTCTCATGGGTCCCTGTACGGCCTCCCATTGCTGCTGTCTCCATCGCCACACTCTGCCATGTGCCACTTTCAGGTCTCCTCACACTGCTGGTGTGTTCCATTTTTTGTCATAGGGTGCTGGCAGATTACGGGCCTCCCATAGCTGCTGCCAGGCCCCTAATCTGCCATGGGCCCCTATAACCAGCCTCCCCCTGCTCCCTAGGTCCGCCTCCTCATGCTGCTGCCCAGGTCCACACTAGTCCTCATGCCATGTGCCACTTTCAGGTCTCCTCACATGCTGGTGTTTTCCATTTTTTGTGTCATAGGGTGCTGGCAGATTACGGGCCTCCATAGCTGCTACCCAGGCCACAGCTAATCTGCCATGGGCCCCTATACCACCTCCCATGCTGCTCTGCCAGGTCCAGAGTCTCTCATGGGGTCCCTGTACGGCCTCCCATTGCTGCTGTCTCCATTGCCACACTCTGCCATGTGCCACTTTCATTTTGCTGCGGCCACGGAGTAGAGCACCAGCTCCACTGCAGCCTACCACCACGGCCAGTAGTGGTGCCGGTGTGCACGGAGGAAGTAACAGTCAGCCAGTGAGGAGTAGCGGGGGCAAAGTTTCCTATTCGGCGGTGTGGCAAATTTTTCGTCAAGCCGCCCGAAGGAAGTAAACGTAGCCGTTATGTCGACTATGTGGCCAGAAAGTCAAGCTGGCCAGGGGGCCCATGTTTTGGGACTACAGCGTGCGTCACATATGCAGCGTCGCCATTCGTTGGCCTGGGAAAAAACCTGTGATAAAGATCTTACGGCGCGGTTCCTGCCTCATGCCCCCAGCCCAGGTTCCATTTTGTCATAGGGTGCTGGCAGATTACGGGCCTCCCATTGCTGCTGCCAGGCCTTAATCTGCCATGGGCCCCTGTACCGCCTCCTCACCCCGCCGCTGCTGCTGCCAGGTCCACAGTGTCTCATGGGTCCCTGAACCGCCTCCCATTGCTGCTGTCTCCATCGCCACACTCTGCCATGTGCCACTTTCAGGTCTCCTCACACACTGCTGGTGTGTTCCATTTTTTTGTCATAGGGTGCTGGCAGATTACGGGCCTCCCATTGCTGCTGCCAGGCCCGTAATCTGCCATGGGCCCCAGTAACCCGCCTCCTCATGCTGCTGCCAGGTCCACAGTCTCTCATGGGTCCCTGTACGGCCTCCCATTGCTGCTGTCTCCATCGCCACACTCTGCCATGTGCCACTTTCAGGTCTCCTCACACTGCTGGTGTGTTCCATTTTTTGTCATAGGGTGCTGGCAGATTACGGGCCTCCCATAGCTGCTGCCAGGCCCCTAATCTGCCATGGGCCCCTGTACCAGACCCCCGCCTCCTCATGCTGCTGCCAGGTCCACAGTGTCTCATGGGTCCCTGTACGGCCTCCCATTGCTGCTGTCTCCATCGCCACACTCTGCCATGTGCCACTTTCAGGTCTCCTCACACACTGCTGGTGTGTTCCATTTTTTGTCATAGGGTGCTGGCAGATTACGGGCCTCCCATAGCTGCTGCCAGGCCCGTAATCTGCCATGGGCCCCAGTACCCCCCCCCCGCCTCCTCATGCTGCTGCCAGGTCCAGAGTCTCTCATGGGTCCCTGTACGGCCTCCCATTGCTGCTGTCTCCATCGCCACACTCTGCCATGTGCCACTTTCAGGTCTCCTCACACTGCTGGTGTGTTCCATTTTTTGTCATAGGGTGCTGGCAGATTACGGGCCTCCCATAGCTGCTGCCAGGCCCCTAATCTGCCATGGGCCCCTGTATACCGCCTCCTCATGCTGCTGCCAGGTCCAGAGTCTCTCATGGGTCCCTGTACGGCCTCCCATTGCTGCTGTCTCCATCGCCACACTCTGCCATTTGCCACTTTCAGGTCTCCTCACACACTGCTGTGTGTTCCATTTTTTGTCATAGGGTGCTGGCAGATTACGGGCCTCCCATTGCTGCTGCCAGGCCCGTAATCTGCCATGGGCCCCCGTACCGACTCCTCATGCTGCTGCCAGGCCTGTAATCTGTCATGGGCCCCTGTTGTCGCTTGTTGGCATATTCCCCGCTCGTTCAGATGCTCCTTCTCCTGCTACTCCTCTTCACGGATTCCGTCAGCAGTCTTTCTTGGAATCCGTTTCCAAGAGACAACAGTTTGCGAGCACGCACCCGACGGTGCAGAAGCTGAACGTCCTCCTGTCCAAGTTGCTGCTGCTAGGCTCGTAATCTGTCATGCGCCCCTGTACCGCCTCCTCATGCTGCTGCCAGGTCCAGAGTGTGTCATGGGTCCCTGTACGGCCTCCCATTGCTGCTGCCAGGCCCGTAATCTGCCATGGGCCCCCGTACCAACTCCTCATGCTGCTGCCAGGCCCGTAATCTGTCATGGGCCCCTGTACCGCCTCCTCATACTGCTGCCAGGTCCAGAGTGTGTCATGGGTCCCTGTACGGCCTCCCATTGCTGCTGTCTCCATCGCCACACTCTGCCATGTGCCACTTTCAGGTCTCCTCACACTACTGGTGGTTTCCATTTTTGTCATAGGGTGCTGTATGGCCTCCTATTGCTGCTGCCTCCACCGCCACACTGTGGCTCCACACTCTGGTTTTGGCCCCGTGACTGCCCAAATGAGTGAAGTGTGCGGTGATTCTAAGATCGACGGCACTCATCTGCATGTCATACTGACTGTCAGTATTATTTCTCTTCCCCAGCAGACTCCAAGGGCATTTAAATTAAAGGTACAGTGTTCTGCACTAATATAAAGGCTCTCTGAAGCCTAGAAACACCCTTTTATAAGTTAAATTCGCAGCGAATATATTCGACTCGAATCGAAATTTTTCCACAAATTCGCCAAATCAGTCGAATCGAATTTTTGAATACTTCGCTCATCTCTAAATACATACATACAAAAAGAATCTAAAACAACAAATAAGTTCAGAAATTAAGTTATGTGTAATATAAAAGGAATGACACAGGGAAAAGTATTGAACATTTGAAGAAAGGGAGGTGAAAAAAAGGCTGGAAAGCCAAGACACCAGCTGAAATCTATAAATTAGAAAGCAATCCTTCCCTTATCAGTGCAAATTAATATCAGGTGGTTCAGTCTCAACTGATGGCCTATAAAACGGTGTCTCATTACCAAGGTGTCACACAAGAAAAATCTCATGATGAGCAAGCTCTCAAGACCTGTGCAACCTTATTACATAGTAACATAGTTATTCTGGCTGAAAAAAAGACAAAAGTTCATCCAGTTCAACCATAAAAAAAAAAAGTTATCCTATACCACACAGTTGATCCAGAGGAAGGCAAAAAAAAAACCTAGCAAAGCATGATCCACTTTGCTCCTGCTGGGAAAAAAATTATTTTCCTGATCCTGCCGAGAGGGCAATCGGATAACCCCTGGATCAACTTTACCTATAAAATGTTAGTATCCAGTTATATTCCTGTTTATCAAAGAAAGAATCCCAGGCCTTTTTTGAAGCAATCCACTGAGCTGGCCAGAACCAACTCTTGAGGGAGTCTATATTCCACATTTTCACAGCTCTCACTGTGAAGAAACCTTTCCATGTTTGGAGATTAAATTTCTTTTCCTCCAGACGTAAAGAGTGCCCCCTTGTCCTCTGTGATGACCTCAGGGTGAATAGCTCTACACCGAGTTCACTACATGAACCACTGATGTATTTATACATGTTGATCATATCCCCCTTTAATCTTCTCTTCTCGAGAGAATAAATTCAGTTCCTCTAATCTTTTCTCATAGCTGATCTCCTCCATGCCTCTTATCAGTTTGGTTGCCCTTCTCCGTACTTCTCCAGTTATTTTTGCAAAACATACTGATAACATTGGTTACAGAAGATTTCCAAACTTCTGAATGTTTCCATTGAGACCTGTTGGGCCATAATCCAGAAGTGGAAAGAGCATCATTTCACCATAAACCGCCCATGACCAGGTGCACCTCACAAGATTTTTGAAAAGGAGTGAAAAGAATTATCAGAAGAGTTGTGGGTGAACATTTCAGCAAGGCAATGATCCCAAATAGAGATGAGCGAATTATTCAAAAATTCGATTTCGGCTGATTCGCCGAATTTGCGGGAGAAATTCGATTCGATGCGAATTTATTCGCTGCGAAATTTAACTAATTAAAAGGGTTTCTAGGCTTCAGAGAGCCTTTATATTAGTGCAGAACACTGTACCTTTCATTTAAATGCCCTTGGAGTCTGCTGGGGAAGAGAAATAATACTGTCAGTCAGTATGACATGCAGATGAGTGCCGTCGATCTTAGAATCACCGCACACTTCACTTATTTGGGCAGTCACGGGGCACGACGAAGAAGAAGAAGAAGAAGAAAAGAAAAGAAGAATGAAAAAAAGAAGAAGAAGAATGAAAAGAAGAAGAAGAAGAATGAAAAGAAGAATGAAAAGAAGAAGAAGAATGAAAAGAAGAAGAAGAAGAATGAAAAGAAGAATGAAAAGAAGAAGAAGAATTAAAAGTTTATGAAAAAAGAAGAAGAAGAATGAAAAGAAGAAGAAGAAGAATGAAAAGAAGAATGAGAAAAAGAAGAATGAGAAGAATGAAAAGATGAGAAGAATGAAAAAGAAGAATGAGAAGAATGAAAAGAAGAATGAGAAGAAGAATGAGAAGAATGAAAAGAAGAATGAAAAGAAGAATGAAGAAGAATGAAAAGAAGAATGAAAAGAAGAAGAAGAAGAATGAAAAGAAGAAGAAGAAGAAGAAATGAAAAAGAAGAAGAAGAATGAAAAGAAGAATGAAAAGAAGAAGAAGAATGAAAAGAAGAAGAAGAAGAATGAAGAGAAGAATGAAAAGAAGAATGAACTATATTACTATATCAGTCTCTAATGGATGCTGGAGAGTTAAAACCCCCTAACACCTGCTGTGCCCATTATGAGGGGTTCCCACCATCCCTGTGCTGAGGTTCTGGGTATGCACACCTGCTGTGCCCATTATGAGGGGTTCCCACCATCCCTGTGCTGAGGTTCCAGGTCTGCACACCTGCTGCGCCCATTATGAGAAGTTCCCACCATCCCTGTGCTGAGTTCCTGGGTCTGTACACCTGCTCTGCCCATTAGGAGGAGTTCCCACCATCCCTGTGCTAAA